AATAATAGAAAATCTTATTTTAGCCTCTAAGGGGCTATCGATAAATTACGTCACACTTTAAGGGGCAGGGAGGGGGTCGACGAAATGTGACATCGTGTGACAAGGGGTGGGAGGGGTCCTAAATTTCGTGACGTCACATTTCAAAATATATTAAAATCTAAGTGTTGAAACTATTACTTTACGAAAGCATTAACAACCCAAACGAGAACAAAGTGGTGCTATGCCAGTTATAAATAATTTAAAGGAGTGGGATCAATGTCCATGGACTCAAGATTATTAAGTTTGTATCTTTAATTTAATTATAATGCTATTAATATTTTATGTTTTGTTAATTTCTTTAATTAACATAGTCAATCACTTTTTGTTCGGTAATTTCTTTAATAAATATAATTAATCGATTTTTTTTTGTTTTGTTAATTGTTTGATTTGATTATAATAATAATGAAAAAACAATTTAAATGGAAATAAAACTGATTACAGAACCGCTGTTTTCATTCAATGATTTCTAAATGTAAATTTGCAAAATATGTGACGTCACACTAGGGAGGGGGGAGTCTTACAAATGTGACCAGCTGTGACGGGGGGAGGGACAAAAAAGACATGAAATTCGTGTGACGTAATTTATGGATGACCCCTAACGACTATGGCGTTTTCCTCGGATCTTCGACTGATTACACTGTTTCACAGTCCAATTGCTACCAAGTACTTCCTTTCTCAGAATAATAAATGACTATAAAATTCTGAGCTTTTATTTTTAGTGAAAAGACATTTTTTTAGAATTTCACGAGAAAAAACAAACTGAACGAAACAACTACGAGAAGGAGAATCTTTTAAAGCGATTTTATTGATTGACTAGTGGCCCGCCCTCGCTTCGCTTCGGTATTTTATCACCTTGGGGGTAGAATTGATCAAAATCCTTTCTTAGCGGATGCCTACGTCATAACATCTACCTGCATGCCAAATTTCAGCCCAATCCGTCCAGTGGTTTGGGCTGTTCGTTGATAGATCACTATGTCACCTTTGAGTTTTATATATATAGATATTTGACTGAATGCATGGGTCTTATTCTCATGTTATGTCTCATACTAGTGTGGGGGTCGTAGAGAAGAGTTCAGAATTCTAGATAGAAATAAATAAAAAGCCTGTGTTCTGTACCCTTAGCACTAACCAATATCGAATTCGAATAGTTTGCGAGTGCGAAATATCATTGTCAAATTTTGAATAAAACTTGAACAGCAGCGCAGCAACGAACGTAACGAAAACTAAAAATCAGACATGACATTTTGTACTCGCAAACAAATAATGGTTCGTGCTAAGGGTACTGCGGATAACACGTTCATATAGTACATATTCTTATGATCCATCGATGAGCATTTCTGTTCATACCACAGAACACAGAAAGAGATTAGGTTATATTAGAATAGAATCGATGTGGTTGCTTCCCAATAAGGATCCCGCATCGTCACATCCGGTGGTGCCGGCACACCCCAGGGTTTTAGTGGGTATGCCAGTGTGGAGAGTCCCACATAACCCTGTTGCCCACCCAGTAACAGGGTATGCGCAAAGCATTTCCCTGGGCAAAAAAAAAAAGGTTAGAATAGAAGAATAGAATGGCCTCGTGGGCGGGGCAAGCGCGCCACTGTTATGTGTGAGCAAATGCGCATAATTTGACCAAAACTTGGTTCTGATTGCGGCGTTGCTCCCGGGTGTGAGCGCTGATTGGTTCGATTATTTGATGTTGTGTCGTTTGATTAACTATTATCCATTAGGTAGAAGTGTAGAGAAGGCGAGCCAGCGACATTGGTTCTCGAAAAAATAGTTTTTGATCTCCCTTCTAACCTCTTTCTGTCTTCTGTGGTTCATTTTTTGTTTTTACTTCCTCCCAGGCGGGGGAGCGGTTGAGAAATCCTCATGGATACCCTACAGCCGGCTCTATAGCCGTTTGACATAACCCTATGGTTATGTCAAACTCTTACTGACTAAAACACACCCGTGGGGGATGCCTATGGCCTTAGGGGCCTTACAGGCTTTATCTGATGCGATCAAACCCTGAGAAGGGGATGATGCAACGCTGCCTTTGTAAATACTACTGCATAGTGCACTTAGAGGACGGATGCACTCTGATGTGCATCAGTATCGGTTTGGGACTGGTCTTGGTCTCTCAGGATCGGGGGGGTTGTGGTTTAATACGATACCTAACCATTTATAGCTGAAGCGGATAACGGACAATTGTGTTAAATAAAAAGAGTTTCAACGGTATATAATGCGATTCAAATAAGAATAGGAAAGCCAATGACCTCCAACTGTCAAATGTCGCTTGAAAAGTACGGTTTGCAAAAAAATCTCGGAACTTTTTTAGCACTCAGCTGATTCTAGTATAAAAATCAAAAAAATTTAAACAAACAATAACAAATGTTGATTATTAATATGATTTGTTTTCGTTTCATTTATTGAGCTTTAGTTATGAATGGTTGATAACCTAAATCGTCAACCAAATGTCACTTTATGTTGCGTTCAAAAACTCGATTTAAAACTTTCGTTTACATATAGGCTGCATGTTCGTATGTGCACTGCATGATTATTCATAACTTCTCCGGCGATAATGCAGAGTTGAGCAAAATTGAAGAGCTAGATTCTGATTAATGTTTTTTTTCACACAGTCTTAATAAAGAATAATACAATCAAAACTTCTGTCTCAACCTTAGTAAATTAATTTTATTAAAAAATCTGATGTTTTGTCTTATATAATCTTAGTAAATAAGTTTTATTAAATAGCAAAATTGTTTTGCTCTCTCTACCTATTTGGTTTGAATTGACAGCTATGACGTCAAAATATGGCGCCCAGTCGGTCCTATTCTTAGTTGAATCGCATTATACATGCACTGATTTATTTATTTATTGACGTTTCGCATCGTTTTTAGGATGCGTCGTCTGAAATCCTTTATTTACTTGAAATTAATGTTAGCCTCAATTATTGCAATTAGGACTTATGATAACATTATAGTAGAGAATGAACGAACGAGAGACTATTGATATATTTATTTGATTAAACATCGAATAATTATTTGTTAAACAAGCAACAGGCGTAGATAACGCTGCATTCACATGAATGAACCTCGGTATCCATTGTAAATTAATTTATGAAGGTACTTTTAGAATAAACTTTGAATGCTATGTAATACAATACGAACATTAATTTTATAAACATTATAAAGGATATAAAATAAAACCACAGCGTTCACCTTAAGTAACGACAGAAAAAGCGTTGTCTTTAATTACCACCAAAATAAATTTACAAACATATTTAAAAACACCTTCATTATAAAAGTTAATTTAGTTCTCCTCTAGCTCAACAGATGGCGTTAGTAGTAGACAAAACTTCATTGTTTTTAAGATTTTTAGAAGATTTTAACAAATAATTAGTTATATTTTCTTTTCATAACCTATTAAATTAAAGCACAGACTCAGAAATGCGTCGCCTACAAACATCATTTATTTATCGAAAGTCAAGAGGATCAGTAAAGTGGCGTAGATCAGTACCCTTAGTACGAGTTTTACAATTACGAAAACTGTGATATAGGCTTGTTGAAAATATATCGATGTATCGATATATCGATATTTTTTGCCGATATATTTTGATTCGATATATCGATACATCATAACCAATATCGAAATTCGTATCAAAAACGATATTTTTTTAATTATTAGCGGCATATCACGATCTAACTAAATTCGTCTCTGGAAAAATCGTAACTGGATCTCAGATTAATGATATTCAACATATCTATGATCTGTGCTGTATTTAGTATTTTCTATGTCATCATTCGAAAATAGGGTCTATTTTTAGGGAGATAATTTTCGTTCCATTATTATTCCGCGTGTCATATTTCGTGAGCTACTACTGTACGATATTTTTGGGAAAATTGGTCCGATATATCGATATTTTTTTCAACTTTCGACATCCATACTGTGATAGTTTTCGTGAGCTCGCACTCGTACTAAGGGCATACTAATATTATTGTTTTCGTTTCAATACAACAAATAAACAGTGTTTAAATTCTATAATTAAATTTATTTGCGTCTTCTCAAATTTTAAGTATATTTGGTTACTTTTAAACAGAATGGACATAGAAACATAATTTCCAATCACGAAAACTATGATAGTTTTCGTGAGTTCAAACTAAGGGTACTGATTCATTCCAGGCAGCACTCGTTCAAGAGCATCTTATGACACGCTTTCTTTGCTTTCATGGAAGTGAGTAATAACCGTGGTACTCCGTTGCCATCTATTTCTATGGTGGCTGTTACATTCACACACGCAACAATGCCGAAATATCGCAGACTCGCAAACAACGAGGTACATTGTAGCAATCCAGCTAATAACGTTAATTACTATAATGTTAGTGACCATGAAGCTTTGATGAAAACAAAAACGTATTTTTTCATCTATACTTAAAATAAATCTGTAGAGAGGTCAGTTCAAAATAAATATCAGGGGGTGATTAGTGATCGATACTGATGCCAAAAATGCAATCAGTAAAATTTTTGTCTGTCTGTCTGTACGTATGTATGTTCCTTATAGAAACAAAAACTACTCGACGGATTTTAACGAAACTTGGTACAATTATTCTTCATACTCCTGGGCAGGTTATAGTATACTATTCATCACGCTACAATCAATAGGAGCAGAGTAGTGAAGGGAAATGTTGGGAAAACGGGAGAAGTTACTCCATTTTTTAAGCTTCCGTCGCGTGTGCAGCCTTAATGGTTAAAGTTACATAGAAATCATGTATGACGGAAATATTCTACATAAAATTGTCTAAAAAACATCCCGCAACAGCATATGTCTATCTTTTATGGTTGACTCACAATAACACGTGTAATTACATAAACAAAGTCATTGTTTATAGAACAGGCCTGAGACCAAAAACTATAGTTTACACTACAGCTCTACGCCGAAGCGAAGCGAGGGCCGGCCACTAGTTGAGAATATAACTTACGTATATGTTGAAAATATATGTGGATCGTCGCTGATATCCTCTGTCTCAGCCGGCGACGGGTGGTCTGGGGCGTGGCTGGAGGCTGTGGTGGCTAATATGATGGCCACCACGGCAGCCACGCACATCACCGCCAGCATAGCCGCCGCGTGCTTGTTGCTCGACAGAAACTGCCACATCAACGACAACACTTCCAACAACAGAACGATAATGATAACACACAACGGGCAATACAACTCGCGAAAACTGGGTCGCCGACCAGTCATACATATAAGTACTCGTATTATTTGTTTTCGCGTTTAAAGCGTGTGGCGCCCGCAGCGTCACCGTCCAGATTACATGGCCGCTAGGACTCAATGTGACACGTTTATTGTTCTAATAACAATGATATGGTTTTAGGGCTGTCTCCCTATCATTAAACCATTAATTTTAGGACGTCATTCACCCACTTCACGCAATGCAAAGTACAAAGATTAAGCTTACATAAAAAGCTGCTGTTTCATCACAATCTTTAGAATAGTTATAATTTTTATTATTTTTAAAGCATGTAACTGCTTGATGTTTAAATCTAAAGAAAATATAACTAGAAAAAAATCCTCGCGGACCAGGCAGCAGACGGGACTCGAACCCGCACCCTTCGCAATCCGGGCGAATGCACTGACCAATTATGCTACCGCGGCCCTCACGGACCGCGTCGAAATTCTTTCTAGCTATTCTTAAGCTGCAAGGCAGCGCCATCTCTTCGCATTATAGGTAAACCAACAATCCGTGAAGGCCGCGGTAGCATAATTGGTCAGTGCATTCGCCCGGATTGCGAAGGGTGCGGGTTCGAGTCCCGTCTGCTGCCTGGTCCGCGTGGATTTTTTTCTAGTTATATTTTCTTTATCTTTAGAATAGTTTAATTGTAAGAATATCTTTAGTTAATGATTTCAGCCAACCCTGGGCATAGTTAAGCCTTTCCTAATTCAATTGTCGCTTCCTCATTGAATTAACTGAGTATTCACTAGGATAGTGCCTGTTGAGTATGCGCGACAAGACAATACAAGGATCTTAAGATCAAGTGAATTAATTATCTCGAGGTGGTTCAACGGCCCGATCGCGTGGGCCGGTGGATATCGCTCGCCATAGGGATGTAGAAAGTTGAAAAAAATATCGATATATCGATATTTTATAAAATATCAATATCGGCTTCGATATATCGCGAAAACAAATATCGATATATCGGACCAATTTTCCCAAAAATATATTTAGGTCAGCCTAGCACAGTAATAATAACAATACAAATTATAATTAAAGAAAGAATTATCAAAGTACCAAATTGCCGCTACACTACATGACAGTACAGTATCTCAAGAAATATGGCACGCGGAATAAAGATGGAACGAAAATTATCTCCCTAAAAATAGACCCTATTTTCGAATGATGAAAATGATTGCAGGGCCTCTCAGGTGCTATCTTTCGTAAACAAGACTAGACAGTCACACACTTCCGCAGAATATAATGGAAATTAGCACAACCAATCACCAGCGAAACAGATTTACAAATAATAGACAATACTAAATACAGCACAGATCATAGATATGTTGAATATCATTAATCTGAGATCCAGTAACGATTTTTCCAGATACGAATTAAGTCAGATCGTGATATGCCGCTAATAATTAAAAAAATATCGTTTCTGATACGAATCTCGATATTGGTTATTTTGTATCGATGTATCGATATATCGAATCAAAATATATCAGCAAAAAATATATCGATATATAGATACATCGATATATTTTCAACAAGCCTAGCTCGCCATAATTCGTGTTTTGAATGGAGCAGAGTGCGCGCGCGCATCAGACCGTGTGCCCTCTAGTTCCGCTCTGTTACTTACAGCGACGCTTCCACCACGTTAGGACACCGAATTTGATTGCTAAACGTGTCTATTGGTGTTGCTTGACAAATGTTTGTTGGTTGTCACGCGCCACTAGGCCCATGTTTCTGATTGTTTTCGTAATTGATATGCGTCAAACGGCTAGTTGACCCTTTTTGGAAAAAGGTTTTAAATAGTTAATAAATGTTCTATTAGCCCGAAAAAAAAATTATTGTATATTTTTGAGACCTAGAAAGCTACAAATCTTTAATTTTAAAATAGACTTTTCGTGGACATACAAAAACGCTGTCGGCCATTTTAGTCTATAGATTATCTATGCTATGACGTCGACGGTAGTAAAGAAAAACTCGTAAGCACGTAGAAAATAACCTATCTGAGTTTATAATAAAAAAAACATGATTTCTAATAGATAACACGAAAAATATAGTAATTATCATTATTGTATTCTACGAGAAATAAAAACACATCCTTGAAGACTCCAGGAAAGTTGTGGAGTGCCGAAAGAAATTAACTTACGCAATACCTGGTTAGAACTTGCTAAAAGTGATCCTGCAACTTTATCGAATCATAGTGAAATTAATTTTTGCGAAGATCACTTTGATGTAAGTACTCATTGAATAATATTACAAGTCTCTTCATTTATTATCAGTTTTAATAATACAAATTTTAAAGTTATATATGAATGACATTTAGTTGTTTACTAAAAGAGACGTCACAATCATGGCGGATGTGGCGAATAGCGTTTTTAGTGTTTAAAAAGTATAGACTAAAAAATATTTTTTTATATTAAATTTCTACAGCAATCTTCTGCTTTTATGAAGTGAAATCGATATATTTAGGTCCCTTAGACCAAATACTTTAAGAAATAAACATTTATGTAATACAATTCGATATGAGTCAACTAGCCTATTACGAGTTTGGAAGAGACAACAATGAAATTAAAGGCGGAGACGTTAAACTAAAAGGTGCAACTGATTAAGGTTTATGCAGAAGTAGGTAACATTGGTAGGCAAAGATGTTTAAATTATTTATAAAAAAAATACTTTATAAAATTGGAATGATTTCGAATGGAAAATATTTCAGTACGTATTATATTTAATTTAAATTTAACTTTTTCAATCGACTACAAAAAAGGAGGATGTTCCCCCGATTACTCAAAATTATTATGATATACTAACATTAGTTTGAGAAGTTACTTAGTTTATTATTAATGCTTTTCAGTATATTTCGGTGGTTTAATGATTATGTTAAAAAGATTTTCGTTTGAAAGAGTCTGCCGCCCAATTGGTCCCTTAGTCATCAGATCAGTATCTAGTAATCGAGAAATCTCGGGAATTCTTCAAAAATTATGAGCACAACTTTCTTTTAGTTCTTTTAGTAATTTTGATATTTAAATCTAAAGAAAAGGTGTACCAGAAAAAAATCCACGCGGGCCAGGCAGCGGACGGGACTCGAACCCGCACCCTTCGCAATCCGGGCGAATGCACTGACCAATTATGCTACCACGGCCCTGATGGCCGCGTAGAAATTTTTCTAGCCTTAAGCTGCAAGGCAGCGCCATCTCTTCGCATTGTAGGTACCCACATTTTTTTCTGGTACACCTTTTCTTTAGATTTAAACATCGAGCAGTTAAATGCTTAAAATAAATAAAAACATAACTTTAATTGCTATTTCTTCTTTCAAATGTTTAATACTTGAAAAAGTATTCATTTGACATTGTGGGTTACCTACAATGCGAAGAGATGGCGCTGCCTTGCAGCTTAAGGCTAGAAAAATTTCTACGCGGCCAGTAGGGCCGTGGTAGCATAATTGGTCAGTGCATTCGCCCGGATTGCGAAGGGTGCGGGTTCGAGTCCCGTCTGCTGCCTGGTTCCCGTGGATTTTTTTCTAGTAAACTTTTCTTTAGATTTAAACATCGAGCAGTTAAATGCTTAAAAAAAAACATAATTTTGATATTTTTATAATAAATCGTACATTTATTCTCGAAAAGCACTATCTAGTGAAGCGGAACTGATGATGAAGAGATGAAGACACAGGTGTCAGAAGGTGTCCACGTCGGAGCTGATCAGATCGAGTTGCGATACTATTACTTTAACTTGATTGATTACTAGTTTGTGCACTTTTTTATTGTAACCGACCAACGACTCATTGCCAGAGAGATTCGAAAGGCTATTGAAATCATGAAACATGAAAATCTTTATATATATAATTCTTCTGTGAGTGTGTATGTCACTGAACTTCTCTTAAACGGCTGGACCGATTTGGATGAAATTTTTTGTGTGTGTTCAAGGGGATCTGAGAATGGTTTAGATTCGCAATTTTGTCCGCTGGACAATGTTTTTTTAATTAATTTTTAATTTATTAGTAGTTGTTGATTTTGGAATGTTTTACATTGGATCCGACAGATGGCTATGTGTATATTCCTGTCAAACATTTGACGTTCGTCGTTTATCATTTCTTCCAAATTATTGTAAGCAATACGAAGTACGCTGGGTCAGCTAGTTTCAATATAAAATATAAATAAGATTGGAATTAAGAGGTTGGGACCTCGTATTTCTAAAAATACGATTAATATGGTAACTCTATTCCAACACATTGCAAGATCTGTGGATATTGTAGTACAGTTTTTTAAACTAGCTCAGATATCAACGCTCCAACCTATGATACCTACTGCTTAAATAATGTCAACTTAATGTCTAACAATTAAAAAAATATATTCATATTATTTTATTTCATTTTTTTTTAATATAAACGTTATAAACATAATGAAAAAATAGTTTATTTTACTAATATCTATATAATATAATACTCAAAGGTGACTGACTGACTGACATAGTGATCTAGCAACGCACAGCCCAAACCACTGGACGCATCGGGCTGAAAATTGGCATGCAGGTAGATGTTATGACGTAGGCATCCGCTAAGAAAAGATTTTGATCAATTCTACCCCCAAGGGGATAAAATAGGGAATATAAGTTTATATAAAACTTCGTCAATTTTAAACCGATCGGGTTGAAACTTTGCATGCAGGTATAAGAAGAATCATAGATGTATATCATATCATTGTGTATAAAACAAGCCTGAGAACAAAAACTGTAGTCTTCACTTCAGCTCTACACCGAAGCGAGGGCGGGCCGCTAGTTATAAATATGAAAATTACTATGTTTGTTACTAAATCACACGAAAACTACTGAACGGATTTGAATGAAATTCTATATTGAGACATAGAATACTTTTTACCCGTAATAATGTTAGGTTCCTGTGGGATTTTCAAAAAACTAAAGTTGACGCGGACGTGGTCGCCGGACGCGCCACTAGTAAGATTATATAAACTACTACGGATAAATTTAACGTTGCAGCTTAGAGACAATGTAAGTGGCTCAATGGTTCATTTGCGCCATTACCACACAATTACGGTTAAAGTACAAAACAAAAAGACTCCCTGTCTCGGAGA